TGCCTTTTAGGTGAATGAAAAAGTGTGTGTGTGTGTGTGTGTGTGTGTATGGGTGGACTGGGTCAAACAAAGATGGATATAAAGTGATCCACGGATGATAGAGGAAACTGCATTTACTCACATCAAGCTAGGTCAATACGAGTCTCATAAGACCGCGGAACTTGAAGACGCATGTAATCTATCATGACTAATCGCAGAACAGATGGAAGCTCACTAACTCGATATCTGATCACAAAACTTAATCTTAATAAAGTTAGTGTTAAAGTGTGGCGCGCGGGCTACGTACGGCCCGCGAATAACACACTTCCAATACGAGGCTGTCTTGAATATCAGAGTCCTCCCGATATATAAACAGAGGGACTCACTTATCGCAATTCCTGCACCTAAAGGGGAGCACGCGGTTGAGACACTATGTTACAAGCTGGAAGATGGCGGGTTCGAGTCCAGATGAGGTTTAATTTACTTAATCTTTCCAGCCTCACTATGGCCCTGGAATCGAATCAGCCTCTAACAAAAATGAGTACCAGGAATATTCTTGGAGATAGAGATGCGGCCGGAGCGTAAGGCTGACAACCTTACCGCCACATGTGAGCCGATTGTCTAGAAAATGTCGGAGCCTCGATATCTCACAAATCTATGGGCCTCCACGGCCTGTTACAGGGATAGCTTTACCTGTACACCGCTACTTCTGTCCAGACATGCTTATGTCACACGTGTCTAGTTAACTGTACAGGAATCTTGATTATACACTCAACTTTCACGATATACGTCTAATCCGGTGAATGATTAACTGTACAGCCACGAAAAGATGACAGAAATAAGACTAAATTTATAGCAGTGGGATTACTGCATATAACGTAAAGTTACAGTAAAATAAGTACATTTACAACACAACTTAGTGGTCTGGTCGAGTGATCAATATTGTTACCAGTATTTTGTATTATAGGGCTAATTAATAAATACATCAAACTTCTTGGCTGGAAAACTGTGACCTTATGAACATATGACATCACTAACCACATGTAGGCCGCTCCATAGCTCAAGCGTTTAGTCGCTGGTTTCCCATCGTGGCGGCCCGGGTTCGATCCCGGATCTGGTCAAGTGGGATTTGTGACGGACAAAGTGGCGCTGGGGCAGGTTTTCTCCGAGTAGTTCGGTTTCCCCTGCCAATCTTCATTCCACCAATTGCTCCACAATCACCCTCACCTATCATCTGGGGCTGGTACAATAGGCCAGAAGTGGCCGCAGTACAAGGGACTTAGTCCCACCCACTAGCAACAAAAAGTAAAAAACTACATGTAAGTCGGTTTCATCTTTAACGGTGCTGTCTGCATCAGGACCGGAATTTCTGCAGAGCTACTAGAAGCTCGACCACTCAATATTTCCCCAACTTTAATGGGAACAAAACTGGTCACAGTAGCCGAGCGGCCTAAGGCATGAACTGTCTTCGCTCGCTCGGAAACGGGGATCGCAGGTTCGAATCCCACTCATGGCATGAATGTTTAGTGTTGGTGTGTGCGCGTTTTTCTGTTCTTCTGTGCAGGTAGAGACCTTGCGACAAGCTGATCACCCACCCAAGGAGTTCTACAGAATGTCTATGATCTAGTAAACCAAAGTGAAATGGAGAGTTTCATGGAGGTAGGTCAAGGCCCAAATTGGGGCTATAGCGCCAAAGGGGAAAAAAATGGGACCCAAACGTTCATTATTGTCCTCATATGTGCCCGCCATTGGTCTCTATGCTGAGCCACACTAATCCATTTCAATCCACTCCTCCTATTTCTTTGTGTCCAACGAAACAAGCGCCTAAGTCATTCAAGCGGCTTATCCCTACAGGTTCTAGAAACTAAAATCTCATATGAATTTCTAACATCTCATATGTTGAAACGAATATTTGTTTAGTATATTTGTATGTATTGTGGCGTACAGACCCGTTGTTGGGCAGAGACCTCGAAATGGAATACGAGTACAGCAGTTGCTATGCAATAGGCAGATAAACACCCATTCCTAGGCAACGAACCAATAAATGTGTTCTCGCGGCAACGGATAAGCATGCACCAATGTCAAATCCATTCCCGTCTATAGTCACACACCTCTAGATGCGTGACAGCATTAAAGAACGTAGATTGGTTACAGGGAATTTTTTTAACATTGGGCATCCGTGAAACGCTTCCTTTCACTTCATTTTCTTATTCCTAGACAGTCGGTAGGATTCCTTGGAAAGGGGGGGGGGTCAGCCCGTCGCATGTCTTGAGTGGAGTTCGAACCCACGATCCCAGTGTTTTAGCGGGCGAATACAGTTCATGCCCTAGACCGCTCGGATACTGGGATCGACTGCTTGGATGAGGGATGTTCATTGGGAGATTCATAAGAAACACACGGTCATAGATACACTCTACGGAAAAAGCAGAGTTATTTACGTTAAAGCAGGTTGAGTAGAGGCTATCGTGAATGATGGATTCTCATACGAACATGTTATTAACTTCTGGTCTTGCGTAATATGGGCAAATATTGTGGCATGGAGATTGTGAATGATCACAGGCTATAGTCTAGTCTATAGAGTGATCATGAGCAGGTAGGGATTTGGCAGGAGGCAATCGTGGTATACTTAAAGTATTTTCTTACATGAAAGCGGCCATTCAAAAGAGCCAGTAGTTAATCCACGATTATAATTGGGTATCTCCTGGAAGCAAATCATATAGATGAAACCTTGGTATATTCAACAGTGCAGTTTCAACAGTAAGAATTTTTTTATTATTACTAGTGGGGTGGGACTAAGTTCCTTGTAGTGTGGCCACTTCTGGCCTATTTTACCAGCCCCAGATGATAGGTGAGAGAGATTGTGGAGCAATTGGTGGAATGAAGATTGTCAAGGGAAACCGAAGTACTCGGAGAAAACCTACCCCAGCGCCACTTTGTCCACCACAAATCCCACTTGAACAGACCCGGGATCGAACCCGGGCCGCCGCGGTGGGAAGACAGCGACTAACCGCTTGAGCTATGGCGCGGCCTACAGTAAGAATTACACAGCATCGATAGAGGTTGAAAGGTGATCATTTGTAGCTGATATGGATGACAAAGCAGAGAACCATGGCACTGGCCTGGAAAGACTGAGGAAAATCTATATAAATCTTAGAATAGTCAGAACAAGGCCGGGAATCGAACCGATTACACCCAGAATATACATGTAGACAGTCATCGATAATAACCTGTTCAGTTACCGCATCTAATAAGCAAGCAACAGCTAAAGACCGCCACTTAAAAAACAAACTGCAGCCGATTTGCTTACACGATTAGTTACACGAAATAAAAATTAAAATCGGGCCCATTTTACAAATCCAGCGGCTTTAGTTTTATGAACCCATTACATACTTATAAACGCCCTGTGATTTCGTGTGTTTAGTTGCGCGTCAGCGTCGAGGGCTGTGCGCTGTTCCCTGAGAACTGACCGGCTGTGTTATCCCATACAGTTACAACAGCATGCGCAGTCAAATGGCATTTCTCATTCACACGTACTGGCTAGCACAAATCACTACCTAGCTGCTACTGGCAAAAGACTGTACGCCTCGTCCTTAGTTCCACATTGAGTCACTGTAGTTAGTAAATAAAACAGGTTATACTTTTGCAGGAAATATACGTAGATAGTGATGAGGACGGCCTCATGCCACGTAGAATGGGGCATAGACCTACTCATCCTCGTCAGAGAATTATTGTAACCTCAATCCTCAAACACGAGATGAATGTCCACAAATACAGTTGAAATTAAATGATAATTTTCTTGGGTTTAGATACTGGAGTAACGTACGGACAGACATGTAACTTCTCACTTGGCTTTACGAAAGAACCAAACACCCATCCTTGTTACATCATATGAGTTAGGAAGAACGGAAGTGTGACGTGAAACCATAAGGGGCCATACATGACTGTACGATGACGTCTTACTGCTTGTGAAATATATGCATTACATTAATTTCATTATTTGTATGTGAACTATTTTGTTCACTCAAGTTAACATGAATACGAACAACAGGAGAGTATATAAGATTGAGTATCTCACTATAAAGTTTACGGTCTTCTGGGATATGACGCCGTGAAGTTTGGTTTATAGGTACTTATTTATAAAACTACATGGCGTCACATTCTAAAAGAATGTTAACAAGCTTTAACACAGAGCCGATCACAGTTGTCACTGCGTTATCAGATACCGTCCGAAACATTTCCGTAAACATGTAACCATGCGCGTTATAGTGTTGCTGCCCTGCAAAGTTAAGAGCCTTCAGACTACAGCTTTTCTGAACTACATCAGGGTAAGTAGCATAACGTGAAAGCTAAAGAAAAAAGTATTACTGCATAACTTGTTTACACACGAGAAGTTTGTAGTAGTAGTAGTAGTTTCATGATTAAATAACACGACTTGAATGTAGTTCCTCCTCGACTACACGTGCACTGGTGTAGTTACAGTTGCTGTTCCTAGGTAGCAGGAATTAACGTTGATATGAGTAGTGACATCTACAGATTTGCAATCAGAATGATTTGATAGATTGAATTAGTTTTGAATGTTGAGGATAGATGGCGGCAATACCAGCGGCCAATCCTGTTTACTACCGAGAATTTATACATTGTTACAAATAACATTGGTTGTATTGTCAGTAGGCATCGACATTGACGTGTACAACACTGGATGTGAATTAAAATTTCAAGAAACATTTCTTTAACAATATATGCATGAAAATTAAGTAGCAGAGCTTTTATTATTATCAGTATGCAATAGATGGCAGATACGTCTGAGTGACACGTTTCGGTACCTGGTAGAGGACGTCAGAACTACAACGACTCTACTTTTTCCCAGGGTCAACTACCTCACCACATTCCTCAGCTTTTTTGTGGCTACTGGGCCCTCTGTACTTTTATGTGAGGGGAACGAAGGACAAGGTCCAGAGCTGGAGCATGTACAGTCACGGAAAATCACTTGAATTGGGACACAGTTCAGATGAAACAATTCATTATTACAAAATGTTTTTTATTTCTTCCTAAAATAGTAGAAACCTAACGTTTGTACAAAAGATTCTATAAGTACATTATGTTATACCCACCGCAGGATATAATTCGACTATACATATTACCTTAGTTTTCTACCTTGGGGTTTTATTTTATTTTACATTTCAACTTCAAACAGAATGACGGGGAAAGAGAGCTTTTTTTTTGTATATTTGTACATAAACCCAGCAGAACTGGTGAAAATACTATGCTGAAACCGGAGATAGAAGTGAGTGAAACTTAAACAGTTGGGATGAGATGGCAGGGTCAAAGCTTGTCACATTAAAGCTTAGCTATGAACAGAATATCACAAATAGGATCTTAAGTTTGTTTCCAAGTAGTTTTATCACGTAGTGGTCCTAGTATGCATAATCACAAATGGAGCAAGATACATTTTCGTATACTTCTGGATAAGCGTTTGTTATCATAATGGCACTTGTTTCAAGTAACCAACATTTCGTTTCGGTAGTGGAGAATAAAATTCTGAAGTTCTTATTCGGCAGATCCTTGAGCAATTGTATGATGTTGTGACAGTGTCCATCTGCCGAACTATTTTCATGTCGAAACGAGGTGCGTTACAAGTAGCTAAAACACATCTGTCCATTGTGTCCTAAAATGTCTTTTTGATTATTTATATATATGTACACGAATTTTGAATTTGTTTACGTATTTCACAAATTCACTTTGCTTATCGTACGTATTTACACAATTACGTTCTTACATACGTTTCTCATTATTTCTTTTCCACCTTAAGTATGAGTGTCTGTTTATTAAGGTGGTGTGAGAAAATATAACAGTACATTCACTTGAAATGCTCATCTTTTACATTCAGCACACAAATACAAAAAGCCTTTGGCTTTGTGAACTCAGTCATCAAGGTTCTGTGTTCCCATACAAGACAATTAAAAACCCGTTTCACAACAACAAAATATTTTGTATGATTTTACAATTTCATTCACTAAGATGCTCATATCACTGGGTTGAACTAGTGTTACATGAAGGGATAACATGTACCACAGATTCCAGGAAGCTGAGGAATTCATTCCTTCATCCCAAAGGGAGTAGATATTAAGTACTATAATTTCTGTACACAGTAATATGTAAAATTACAATTATTTCCATGTGATATTATGATTGTATCCTGGTTTCAAGGTGAAATAAATGACTCTTTTTTTCTCTCATATCCTGGATGTTTACTGTCTTTCTAACACTTTGGTTTAAAAATTAAGACCCAAGTTGCTATCCTGTTTGGATACATTCTCAATATATATTAATGTTATTTTATTCTTTTAAATTTTATCTGAACTTTAAATATCTTCGGTTCAGTTGCAGTATTAATACTGTTTACATCCTTCAGAATTATTTCTTTAATATTCAAATTAATTTTTATCAAAACTGTAGAATATCTAATATTGCACACAAAAAGATCCTGGTTGATGACAGACATCTGCAATTTTCAGTATTGCCCTGTATCAAGAGAAGCCTTACAACAGACTAAGGGGACCCCAACTTGTCTCAGTAAGATACGGAAAATATTCACATTTTAAAAGACAGGCCTGAAGTGAATTTTGGAACTACTAAAGAAGCATATGTACAATGAAAGGAACTGTAACTTCTTCTTCTTTAAATTCAAGCATTCTTTTTTACTCTAACCATGTAATCATATCCTCTAGAAATATTTTCAGTATAAACATAAATGTCCTTTGTGATTCATAATGTTAGAAATTCCAGAGTTTTATGTTAAGATATGATATTTCAGTTCTCCATATTTACAAATGCCTTTTACTGAAAACAGCACAGATAATTGCATAATTTTTGTTTTGGACACACATTAATGTGGGGCATAACAACTCAAATAAAAAAAGTGAATGAAGCTACCCTTTGACATTAAGGTTACAGATTTTGGAGCTCCTCTGTCATATTCATATGAGTCAAATTAAAATAGCAGCACACAATTCTTCCACTAAATATGATTCATCTCAAATATATGTTTCTAACATTTTATGTCTTTGAAAGAAAGAGTGTGAAGAACAAAATGCTTTATGCAAGAGAATAAGATTTATATAAGATTATTATTTTAGAAGTTAACATATCCTGTTTTAGCACTTAAATTTCATCTCAGTTGAATCTGGATTTCACAGTAAAATTTGTTATCTTTCCATCAGTTAGGGAATGTAGTTTATTGTAATGAAGATATAAATACCAGCCATAATAAATTAGCCTCATTAATTCTCTAATTGTCAACTATTTTCCTGTGTTGATTAATTGGTTAATAAACATCTTCAAGTCAGCTTATACCTGCCTCTAATAACGTAAGATATTAGAGAAAGCAGAATGTGTTGGTAGCATGGTTATTCTTTCCAACCCACACATTTGTCTGAGTCTGTAACTCTCTCCATCAGTCTTACTTATTTCATGACAATAATTAGTTTATTTACTTACAAATAAATATAATTTATATTTTAAAATGTTTTTTAAGACTGGGAATTGGCCTAACTGAGTTTAATATGGTCGCCACCAAATGCATTGGATCTATGGGGCGAAAATGGAAGACAGTGATATATTGATTAACGAACCTGTTAATAAGATGACAGATCAAATTATTATCAGAAGATGTCATGTCACAACATATATGAATACACAAATAAGGAATAATGGGCCAATAATCCTATCCAGTTATATTTATGACTAATTTAGAACTGACATGAGAATTTATGTAAAATATACTCTTTTCAATGCAATGTTTTTAATCACCAAAATGACCTTCTGATTTAAGAAAGATGTTCTGACTTCTATGCAAGTGGTACATAGGTTTCCTGATGTCTTTAATTGTGACTTCATACTTTTAATCAAGGAACTCCTAATAGCAGCAATTTTGTCTGCTTATCATAATTTACAGTCATCAAGTTCTCATCATTCCATGTAACATCACAAAATACATCATGTGGGGGGTTGAACCCTAGACATGAGGACTACACAGAATCAAGTGACTGTCCACACACATTAAAATGACAGTACAATATTTCATGGCATGAATGTGACAAGAAATATTTTGTGAACATTACTTCACAGAAAAGCCACATTTTGTTACTCAGTCTGCCTAAACAGAAATGCTGATATAACTATGGTACACATTATTTAGGCAGTTTTTCCAGGTATAAAATCAAAAGAATAAACATGGGTGCTTACAATTTCTTCCCTTCTCTTTTCTTTCTAACACAAAGTCTGGGTGCTTTGGAGCCTTGGTGAAGGTAGTCCAGATGTTAAATTTGTGTGTACTGATACAGGTATAAACACATATATATTTTCATAAAATGCTCAGATAAAATCTGGAGGCCTTGACACAGAAATAATAGAAATTTTAACCCACTACATTTCCATGTTCTTGTTCTTTGGCAGTAAGAATACTTAAGAAATTTCTGGCCTGTCAGGCATGTTACCTCCCATTTGAAATGAAGTTAATTTTATGAAAACCACATGGAAGGATAAGGAAGCTAATTCACTTTCTTCTGTATAGTTAATCATCTTACCATCAAATGACTGATTTGTACTGAAATTCTACATGTACTTAAAACTCAGATTATGAGATTTATTTTTCAATATCCTTTGCAAAATTTAAAACAATATAAACTGTATTGGCTTGAAATTAAGAAAGATTAATCCAAAGTTCTTCCTCTAATTTTAGATCACAGAATGACAACAAACATTAATAAACGAGGTACAACATTAGCACACATTAAAACACGCTGCTTTAAAATTCCTCAGCTTCCTCAGGCAGCAGACTGTCAAACTGATTATCCATGACATATCCTTGCAGCAATGCATTTTGCTAATGTACAGTGCTTTCCATTCGGATATTGAGCCCTTTTATGGGGTTCCTAATATCTAGGCCTCACATGGTTAAGACATGCATGGCTCATCTGTTTACTTTCTACAACTGTGTATAATGTGGAATTACAGACATCCAGTTCTCAATTTCTGGCTGTGGTTTCCAAATTCAAGGCAGATTCATGAAGGTTTAGAAGATTTTTTTTTTAAAGCTAAATAGTGTCCAGACTTTGTCCCATAGTGTTGGTGGTCTTGTTGGTGGGGAACTTAAATTGACAGTAGTGCAAGGGTTTGAACCACTGGCTTAAGTGTAAAAAAACTTTGAACTAGACCATCATCTTATACAGTTACAACAAGTATAATTGTAGTCTTTTTCTTCCTAATGTTACAAAAGCAGTTAGCACCTTCAGATAGAATTATGAAAGTTGTGGGAAACAATTTTTTGACAAAATTCATATGAAAATCATTCACTTGATCACAGTAACAATGAGACTAAAATAATCTGCCCTATTGGTGCCTACAGCTCAGAAGGGGATTCTATACCTCTTCCTAGGCGGGTAGAGGACAGAGAAGTTGCACAGATCACAACTGGATGCATTACAAACCAACCAGCCATTTAAGCAAAAAAGGAGTACACTTAGTAGCAGGAGAAAGTTTTACTTCTAGAAAACATTCGGGAAAATTCTGAAGTGCAGATTTACATAAAACCATTCTTAGAAATGACCAACATCATAATTTATATCCCACCTGTGGTCTGACTCTGCTTATGAGGGAGTTTACTAGGTCTCTCCTGACCCAGCCTGACATTAAAGCCTGGATTTTTACTGTACATGAATCACATGCTAATGTTACCTGTGTAACAGAATGACCGATATGTTTCATAAGTTGTGTTTCTTATCTTGTGTACAGAGGTCTCTTCTTCAAGGTTCATTCAATGTACACAAAACAGCATGGCAATTCTGTCAGCCTCTAATACAGAAGGCCATACTGAGAGTTGAACACCTGTAAACCGTTTCAGTCAACATCTCCTTCCAATTGTTCACTTTAGACTGAGCTCCATACATAACAGCTGAGAAAACATGTCACTGAATTTGACACAGTAAGGAGGTCTTGAGCACCTCAGCAAGCAACTACAGAAGACTGAACTGAAAAATCAATGATGGGTTCCAAAAGAACGCTTCAGAGTGCATTGCATGTCTACAGCTAGATCCTGAGCTCAGTCTCAGCAACTGCTGTCCGCTGAGGCGGCTGTGCCTGTCTCACATGGTGGGCAGTAGGGACACCAGGGGTGACAAGTGGAGATATGGAGGGTGACCTGGTGGCCAGGGGTGATAGAGAAGGTGAGAAACTGGGTGACATGGCTGTGGAGGTGCTGAAGCCTGTGCCGGATGCATCATGGCTGATAGGTGAGCGAGGCAACATGAGGAGCTGCTGGCCGCCTTGGGCGGATGCTGCGCCATGGTGACTAGCAGAGTGAGCGCCCCCAGCTGTCCGGGATGCTAGAACGGGTGCAGCAATGGACCGAGGCGCGACGCTTGTGAGGAGAGGTGGGGGTACCGTCTTCACTGCAGGGGGGTGCGATGCAATTGCGGCCTTTCCCTTCCCCGATGAGGCACCACTGTTTGTGCTCTGCACTGATGCTGTGTCGTCTTTCAACCGCGCGATTTCTGAGAACACATGAGCCAAGGGCTGATACTGGGGACCCCAGTCCAACAGATAGTCCCAGTTGTAGCTGCCAGTCAGCTCTTCCTCACTGTGCACAATTGAACTGAGTGACCCTGTCATGGAAGGTTGGTGTGTCGTGACAACTCCACTCACTTCACCAAAACCCCCCATCACCATGACATGTTCCACCCCACCACTGGCCCCTCCCCCATCCTCAGTGCTACTACCCCGCTCACTTGAGCCCACATCTTTCAGTTTTGCATAGATCAGGTTTGTAATGTCTGCCTCACCTGAACCCTCCTCATCAAACATGTCCATGGGTACAACTTTCCCACTGTTGGTGATGGGCCCAACTGCTGTATTGCTTGTGTCCACAATACCAAGGCGTGCCAGGTATTCCTGCGTGTTGTGTACTGATACATCAGAGAGGTTGTCGTCATCCACATCATCTGTTTGTCGGTGAATTCCCGAGTCTCGCTGCAAGGGACCTTCATTGATCATACGAATCTCCTCATCTTCTACGTCTTCGCCATCCTCGGCAGAACCCCGCCCACTGGAGCCTGACTGCTCAGACCCCGACAGCTCTGATGTGGTTGCAGCCCCTGAGTTAGAACTGCTGCTATTGTTGTTACGATGCACCACAGGGCCCCCAACATAGGGGGGAATTTCGTCATACTTGGGAGGTCCAAACTGTGCCGTGGGACCCTGCACACCTCCCCCACCTCTTATTGGGATAGTGTCAAATGCACCTGGGTCCACAAAACTCTCTGGACTACCCACAGCTGTACTGGGGGTCAGAGCTGGCTTGTTCACCTTCTTCTGGCGTCGGTTCCGCATGTGTAGGAACAGGAAAATTGCACCAAATGCCAGCACAATCAAAATTAGTGCAATGAGGAGTCCAAGAGCCCAGTCCGCAAGTCCTCCAGAACCTGAAACCAGTGTCGTGTTGTTACTGTTCGCATCAATCACACTGCTGGCAAGGTTGGTGCCCCTGTCAGCCAATGGGTCCAGTGCCAATTCTACAACCGTCATGTTGGTCAGTGATCCCTGTCGTCCTGAGCTGGCTGTCACCACAAGGCTGATGTCTCGGCCTGCCTCCAGGGCAGCAGCTGCATTGTCTAGCTTTTTCTTCACCATGACAGCCCCGGTTGTGCGGTTGATCTTAAAATAAGGGTGCTGAGTGGTCAGCTGGTAGACCACTCGCCCATCTGGTCCTTTGTCTCTATCTGTAGCAGCAACATGACCAACCACGCAGCCGACAGGGAGGTGGCCAGAAGAGGACACAGATGGCGGTGGGAGAACAAATCGATATGTTCGTTCAGTGAACTGTGGGTGAAATTCATCTCGGCTCTCAATTTCAACTCGAACTCTTACACTAGCAGTTCTTCCCCCTATATCGCTAGCATGCAGAGTGAAAGCATAGCGATTCCGTGTCTCATAGTCAAACTCTGCATTTGTAGTTACCAGGCCTGTAGATGGATCCACACGAAACAATTTCCAAGAATCTTCAACATCTGTGTAGCCAGAAGCTGCTGCAGACACAATGGTGTAGTTCAACTTGCCATATATACCCTTGTCAAGATCAGTGGCTCTTGCTGTGAACACTGCTGTTCCCACATGCTCATTCTCCCCTACAAATTCAAGATATTCGGACACTGGGAACTTGGGTGCATTGTCATTCTCATCCTTCAGCCTGATATGGACATTTGTTACTGTTGACAGTGGTGCATCTTGTGGTAAATTTGCGCTGTCAGATGATCGGACCACCAGCATGTACTCTGTAACACCAGCATCATAGTCCAGAGTTCTCTTGACACTCAGCACTCCACTCTTAGAATCCAAAGTGAACAGATCACGATCATTTCCAGAAGTGATATCATAGACAAGTTCAGCATTTGGTCCGCCCGCCTGATCTGCATCTGATGCCATTATTTTGAGAATGGAATGGCCCAAACTTGCTCCTTCGCTGACTGTGACATCATAACCCTTTCCACCACCTCCTTGAAATACAGGGGAGTTATCATTTGCATCATCCACCATCACGTGCACCAGGACAGCAGTTGCATTGTTGGGAGGAGAGTTGGGTTCACCAGCCACCACTCTAAGTGTGTAGGAATCTTCAATCTCTCGATCCAATGGCTTTATCAGGACGAGGTCTCCACTGGGGCTGCAAACACACAAATGTGTTAATTAAAATTTTTGGAAAGCATCAGCATGGACAATTTATAGCTGTAAGACCAAATAATACCTCATAACTTGGAAGGCTCCACCTATGTTTCCATCATATATGGAGAAAATGAAGTCCTGATTATCTTCCATGGCCGATTCTGCTGCCACAATCTTCACCACTGTTGTCCCACATGGTGAATCCTCCCTGAGATGCATCCTTGAACAGACATTGCAATGGTAAATTTGAGGATATCATTTACTTACCACTTAATCAATGATGTTTATTGTTCAATTCCTCTGCATTCAAGAACAAAACTGTATTCTTGGCTACATTCAGAAACAGAGAATGATGGACAAAACTTATTTCCTATGGCTACACTATTGAACAAGTCTCATTTCATCAGTCACTTTGATGAACAAAAACAGATATGTAAAAAGATCACCCAGAAGATTGCTTAATGGCGCTGGAACTGACTTGAGAACATAGGAGGCCAGGAAGTGACCAACCTGTATTCATCCTGTGCGAATCTAGGCTTGGCTTTTCCTCCGTCAGCAATGTGGATCCTGACGGCGACGGTAGAGGAGAGAGCCGGCTGTCCGGAGTCCGTCGCGACGATGACGAGCTGGATGTCCTGTTTCATGAGAGCTGCCGGGATGCCGCTCCGGTTGCCATGTAGAGTGCCTGTCGTTTGATCCACGGTGAAGCCCTCCACTGGTGTCAGAAGGGAGTAACGTATTTCGGCGTTCTTGCCAGAGTCGGCGTCACTGGCATTAACATGTAGCACCGCGTAGTTCTGGTCACTTCCCTCTGTAAACATCAGTAAAACTGCTACAGTTCATGTGACCACGTCATCAGGCCGACAACTGACGTCGGGCCAAATTACTTTTGTTTAGTCGAGTATGCCCACAAGTGAGACTGAGTTACGGGTTTTCTGAAAGCTCGAGACACGCCAAAGGCCTGTGTCCTGAATAATAATAAAAAAAAAACTCTGTGGCTTTAGTCCGTAAGCGAACTATACCGACCGAGCGACCGCCGATTTTCGGAGAAGTTAGTACCAACTAGCGGCTGTCGCGTGGTCACCGCAACGGATCCCACGGCCGTTAATATCGGATTTCTAGACCGGAGCCGCTACTTTTCCATTCATGTAATCTCTCACTTTTCCTAATAAAAAAAAAACTCTCCCGTTCCAGACCCACTACTTCTCAGATATCTGGTAACGCCGGGAATCGAACCCGGGACCTCTGGATCTGTAGGCGGGAACTCTGACAACTAGAACACAGAGGCAGTCCTGAATACTTTCCCTGTTATCGTCGTTGCTGGCTATATTTAGACGTTCCTAAACAAGAATGAAAGTCATATTTGCAATTGTGACATCGGGAGTTCCCATGAAGGTACGAACTAACATTTTTAAAATCACCCCGCTCAGTTTCGCCATTTAAATTTCTAGATCATGGATTTTACGAGAATGGGTCTCGCGAGAGCTGGGCTGAATTATGCCCATCAAGACTTTCGTTCAGTAAAGGAATTTGGTATCAGCGGAGTCGAACATTTGAAGTGAGTTATTAAAGTTTTTCACTAATTTATTTAGATCGTCTGTTTTATTGAAAGATTAATCACTTCATCAGTCTCAAAATAAAATAAGTTTTTTATTCAAGACAGTTAGTCAAACTGGTTCGTTAGGCAGATAGTTACTAGAGCAATTAATTTTAACAGTGCTTAAGAGGTTCGGGGCACTATGTTACAAGCCAGAAGGTCGCTGTTTCGATTCCCTATGTCATTGGAATTTTAAAGTGACCTAATCCTTCCAGCAGCAGTGTGTTCCTGGGCTCGACTCAGCCTCTAATAGAAATAAGTACCAGCAATCTTCCTGGGGGGTAAAGGGCGGCCGGTGCGTAAGGCTGACTACCTTATCTCCATCGGTGTAGAAAATGTGGGAACCTCGACGTCTCACAACCCTTTGGGCCTCCACGGCCTGTTACAGGGATAAGATTACCTTACCTGTACTGGTTAAGCGGTTAATCAGTCAAAAAGTTGATCGGTGCAATTGTTCGCCTCTACTGCAGACTTACGAGTATATTGGTATAGGGGCTATGTAAACCACAAACGTGTGTACCATTCTCAGTGTTAGATATAAGTAGAACTCCATGAATGTTTGATGTGGATATGCTCAGCCGCCCCTTATAATGCAGTACACCAGTGACATTTTTTCATACTAGTCGTAATTGTTCTTAATTACGTCATATGACGTACTGACACTGGAAGTCAAAATAATAGAACATATGTGCTTCGACTAAAAAGTATTCTTCATCAGGTTCACCATGTAAGGGATCCATTTCCGTGTTCGTGATATTATTACACATCTGTGATTTAAAATAGGCCACGCCAGCCTTCCCTTATCAACCGAAACATTAGTAAGAGGCTCTACGTATAGACGGAATTTAACGCAACCTCAAGAACACCAAAAGAAAACGTTTTTTCTGTATCGTTCTTTCCATCATTCATATTTCTCTTCTTCTTTCCTTTATTCATCCATTCTTTCGCGCTGTATTTTAGTCGTTCTATCATTTTTCCTCGTCTGACTTTTGTTTACTTAATTTATTTCCTTGCCCCTTTCTTTCTCTTCTTTCTTTCTTTATTTCTCACCGTCTCTTTCTGTTCTTGCCTTCTTCCTTTTTCCATTTCTTTCGGGCACCTCATGTGACAGTATTTTATGGCTGAAATTGCGTGTCTGTTGAGGGTCGAGGAGGTGTTGCTGACACAATCTTAGCCACGTAATGAATAGATCCATGCTTGCCAGAGGCACTCCGCGACCCGTACCGATCATATCGGACCCATTCGGGAACGGAGAGAGAGAGAGAGACAAGATCTCTGTCCTTGTCAGACACCCGCAACTCCCAACTAGTGTGCCCCTCCACTCTTGTAAATCTTTCATCTTTCTTACAAAACATATTTTACATTGAGTCCACTCGAATTACGGGCGACTACTGCATTCAATGCTTAAATTGGTCTAACCCTACAACTTCCCATACAAGACCTGGCTTATAATTTTCAAAAGACTTCTTTTACTATCTCTTTCTTTCTTATGGCATTGAAGAGCAACAGAAATTGCCTGCTTTATTACAACGTGAATACACATGCTCCTGCGATATGTAGAAGTTTAGACAAGAAAAAACAGACGGGGGGACGGACCAACAACCAATTTCAACCGGAATCCGCAGACATATCGATTCTGAGAAACATTTCTAATCATTTTTCACGCTGAATTAATTTTATTAGAACTTAATTTGTTCGTGAGACATAATGGTAATTATTATTTTCAGCAAAATTTCCTTCCTCAAGGAAAAGTGTAGGCTAATGAGTCTATGTGTGTATCCCAATTTCAACTTTTGAACCAGCTGACCAATTTTTATCAAACATGGCATGACAGTAATGCTATTATAGCACATACCATGGCCGTCCTTTTTGTAACTTCCCGAAATCAATAAAAACGAGATATGGACGCACAGTGTGAGACGGGACAGATATTCACGTCAGCAATACACGATCCCGAAATGATATATGGTTATACATCTCGGAAAAATATGAAACTTTACTAAAAAATGTTTTTGTAGAACGTAAAATAACAACATGGCGGCAGAGCGAAAATGTTATTTAGCGTTCGGTTTAATGGCGATAACAAGTACAACACGAGAACCAGAGACGCGAAATTCGGTACAGAGACATCATACATATAAGAAATATATTCTGAAAGTAAGGATACAAAGTCCAGAATATATTTGTAAAGCATTTTTTTGGATCGACTTGTAGCACTTTTACAACACACCTTTATTTACCTTTCAACATAATCACCATGGATCGCAATGCACTTGGTGAGCATGGGAACGAGATTTTTTTTTATTCCAGCGTCGTAGAAATCTCCCCCCTGCTCTCTTAGCCATGGAGAAAAGTTCTTGACAATTTGGGCATTGTTGATGAACTTCATCGATGGTTTAACGTCTGTCAGCACGAATGTTTTCATCAACTTTTTTTTTTTTGTATTATTTCATCAGTGACAATGGATGGCCTTCCATCATGAACACCACTTCTTCCTGCTTCAAATTCTTGACACCATTTTGCCACATTTTGCATGTTCAAAATATCTTCGTCGTAAACAGAAAAAAGTTTGCGATGCATTTCAGCAGCAATTCCTCCTTACCGACATCTGTGAGCTGAAAGTCTACATAAAATTTGGGAACCTAGACGTCTCACAACCCGATGGGCCTTTATGGCCTGTTTACCTTCTTACGACCGTAACAAGACAAGACCACCAGGATGAACATACGTAATATAGTTCCTGTTTGTGTAACATCCCGAATTTCGCTCTAAATGAATCTCTCTTACTCCCAAACATTTTCCAGAAAACATTATTTTCGAACACTTGCAATCTGTGCCAACAGGAATTCAGAAACGAATGTGGTTCGATCGCGTGGGGTTCTACTATTCCCCCCCCCCCCGACAAAGAAAACAGTTGAAATGGCTTTCTATTAAACGTCATTTTAACTGTACATGTCCACAAAATGTTGCAATTGATTGGAGTCGCGTCGATATTTCAAACTGAACACAATAGCTGAAGTGCGTCCGCATTGTTGCAGGACTGCCATGTCAGGCTGACCTGACAGCACGAATGTGGTCGTAATGTAGACTTGAAATGGACATGTTCTCACACCACTGGTCGGAGACCACATGCATAATATACAAACAGCAGTGCTGCTTCGAATCAGTCCGTTTTATACGATTTTCTGCATTTAATTCTTTCTTGGTTTTATTTATTATGTTAACTCTTCTCAAACATGATCCCTGCTGAGTGAATTTTACTGTCACACATCTTAATAAAGAGATGTTCCACAGGTCGACGATAGGAGTTCGTTTCTTGTTAGTGGTAGCTACTTTTCTGCGTCGCCATTGCGTCCATATGGGTTATACTTCCCACCCATTATTTTTTTTAATTTGCTTAGTGGCGGGTGGAGTCCAGCTGGTTCCACTCGGCAAGGCGGCCACTCATTGACCTATTGTACCTGCCCCGGGTGATTATGATGGAGAATTTGGTGGAATTAAGATTGACAGGAGAAATCGAAGTACTCGGAGAAAAACCGCCCCAGCGTCACTCTGTCCACCACAAATCCCACTTAACCAGACCCGGGATCGAACACGGGCCGCCGTGGTGGAAGCCAATGGCTAACCGCTTGAGTTATGGCGCGGCCTCTTCCCACCCATCGATCCAACAACTCCTTTCCAATGGTAAATCGGCAGGAGCGTGAAGTCAACCATTCCCCTTCATATTGTCACGTGCCCGGGGTTCCGTGACAAATAATTTATGGGTTGCGGCTTTAGACGAAGATGCTTTATTGGATAATTCGCTCACGATTACAATTACAATTACTACAATCACTCTGACATAACTTCTCCCAGGTGATGCAACATATCATCTCTGATCTGACCTCTGATCTTTATCTCTCAAAAGTCAAAGTCAAAGTTACTTTACGACTGGCGGTTTACCGCGAATAAGTTCGTTTTGGCGTCACCCCTTGAGGCCCACGACCAGAGATTTTTTTTTCCAACTGAACTCTTGCGGTAATTGTCCTTATGTAACATCCTCTCTGACGAGAAGATGGGTTTGTCTCTTATGAATAAGCTTGGCCTTTCGTCAAATGTATATTTCGCACATATAAAATATTATTGAAAATTCTTCCTTTTGCACTACACACAAGTCCTCTCTCTATACAGGTTTTACAGAGCACATCACGCCTAGCTTACGTATCTTATGCTAC